AAGTCAAACTTTTATAAATAAAAATAAAAAAAAAAAAAAATAAAAATAATAAAAAATCTTACTGTCTTCATAAATCGGTTAATGTATTTTAACACTAAACCAAATCCTTTAGTGAAGACATTATTTAAAAAAACAAAAACATTATACTCTTTATATTATAATTTTAATTATAATACTAAAAATAGTTAATCGACTTTTTAAAAGATTTTTAATTCAATGAAGTATGTGATAATTAATTCGATAAATAATATCTTTCTACTCACATTCATTTGGTAGTACGTCTCATTGCGTTGAAATAACAATCATTAAAATAGCATTTTTATTTTCTTTTTAAGAGAATTTTTTTATATTTTTTTATTTATTAGCAGTTAACTAATTAAATTAGCTAGCTAATAGAGCTTATATTAAAAGCTTGATGAAATATTATCAACTAATAATACATAATTTTATCTCATTAAAAAACAAAACATGTATTTATCTGAGGACGAAGTCCAACTAGCTGGCTGTGGATAAAGAGTATTAAATACATAAATAAATTTTATTTTTAATTTTTTATTATTTTATTCAATTGCGCTTAGGTACCATAAAACAAAAACTAATTAGCTATATTTTTACATCAAGGACTTTAAATGGTCAATATTAATCCTTATCTACAATATTATAGTATAATGGTTAATATGTAATTTAATTAGTAAATGAAGCTTCTTTATTGAAGTGACTTCAAGTCTTTTTTGTTATGTGCTTCAGCCTGAAGCGTGATTATTTCTGGAACTGTCGAAACATGCAAGTCATGTTGAAGGCCGCTGTTACGGACATACCACGTAGCATTGGTAATTGTTCTTAGCATATTGTTTTTATATTGCTGGCTTTCATTTCGATCAGATGTGCAACCCCAGAGTTGAGATCTGTAGGCCTTAAGTGGACGTAATACCAAAGCTTGTTTTTGATTGACTAAATAAATAAATAAATATAGTTATCAGGGTATAGAGTTGTTGACGTCAGAAATATTTTTCAACTAATATAGAAAAATGATATATCTATTGTATAAACACGAATTCATTTAAAATTCAAAAACTACTGTTTAAATTTCGTGCTCTTAAAAATATAAGTTAATTATATAACTTAATTATAATTTAACTCAAAAGTTTAGATTGTAATATCATTGTTACATTGTAACGTAACATATGCAGCCAAATTTAAATTAACTGATTTTATCTTTCAATATAATTTCTGTGAACTACAAAACATGTATTCCCACGATTCTCCAATTTTTAGATTTCATCTTCATAACGGCAGCTAATTCCTCTTCGATGAAAACCGTTTTTTTTTGTATTGTGGGAAAATCTAGAAGTCAGATAGTACTAAATCTGGCGATTGTTGCAATAAATCCATGGCAGGTGCTTTAGATTTTAGTACAAATAAAAAAACTTGTTTACAGTTCTATGATTATAGAAAATAATTTTGAAAACAATTTGTTGTCTTATTTATTGTGCATAATTTTACTCTTAGATAAGGTTAAGGTTAGATTTAGATTAGATTTAGATTTAGATTAGACTTAGTTGGATTGGCAATAAAACAATAAAGAAACTTTGTTTTTTCTCTTGGAGTTGTGTCAAAAATTTTACTCTCAAAATATGTCTAAAGAGTTTCAGACTAAATAAATCAAAAATTTTGTATTGGTTGGGATATTTGTATGGATTGGTTATCACTGATTCTGCAATAAATAGTGTTTTCTTTTTATTAACAGTTCCTTAAACAAAGAACTTTAAATAGTGGGCGTATTATCGAGTCATGTAATTGATATAACTCTCTATACTTTGTTAGATTTTACAATTCTGTTTTAAAACTAACAGTGCTGGGCATAAGTGAATCATAATAAAATGAAATAACGAAACGATTTTTAAATGAAGTGGATTTACAGCTGTTTTCATTTTATAATAATAGTTTTATATAAGAACTTACAAAGAAAAACTGATTACTTACAAAGAAAAAAAGTATTACTGATAAAAAAAATAGTACAACTTAATTAGGTATATTTGTTTTGTGAAAAAAAAAATAATTAGAAAGATTGATTTGTCATATGGTGTGCATCATAATAGACTTTTTTAATCAGAAAAGAAATTCAATCAAACATAATTGATTTTAAATTTTAATATAAAAAATATACCTGGCTATTAAAAATAAAAAAATAAAATATATATTATAACAGGTATATTACTATTTTCATCTGTATAAACTCTAGATTAGGTAAATATTTGTTAAATATTAGTTTTATAATATTAAAACATTAATCAATTAAAAGTACACTGAATATGATAAAACTCCAGCTCGATGCTTATAAAAAAATGAAAAACTACTCTTATAATATAAAAAAAATTAGAATTAAACAAAATAAAAATAAAATGCGTTAGTTGTGCCAAATAAATAAAATAATTAATACAAAAATTTCACAACTCATATTAAGAATTGATTCATTAATTTTTAGTAAATTATTTAAGACATGTCCTAACCCTAAATATTTTTTTGGAATTAATTCAGACCTTTTTTGTATATATATTTTTTGTTAAAGTTCAGGTTATGTATAAATTAATACTATATATTTTAATACTTAATAGGTAAATTTAAAAGTTCAAGAAAATATCGTTTTCCATTTAAACATTATATTTGCGTTATTAATATATATCAGCTTAAATCTAAAAATAAATTATCTATTAAATTAAACCATTTTAAAAAACCCCTTACTTTTAACTTTTATATATATGTATATATATACTTAAATGCATTGTAATTATCAAATATCAAGTTAATACTTCAATTAATGTTAGAGTTCAATTATCTAGATTCACACTGGTTTGAATCTACAGCTTAGAAATAAGCAGAATAAGTAGAAAACTATAATATACAAGTGAATCAATTGTGTTAGTTAATTTAGTTAATAAATTAAAACAATTTGTTTATATCAACTTAACAATTAATAACAATTAATTACAAATAGTTTAAATTCTTTCAACATTAATAATTTATTTAAATCATTGTTTTATTACTTTTAGAAGTATTTTATTATAAAACTGTATTCTGAAATTCAATACATATTATAATAATATTGTTATAGTATTATAAATATCATAATTATACTATATAATATACATAATAATATTTGAATAAATAATATATAATAATATATTATAATACTATTATATATATTATATTATAATAATATATATATAATATCTACATTAAAAGCAATTTTGGGCCATGTTTAAATAGACTTTAAAATATAGCCTCATAGTTAGTAAATTAGTAAATTACAATGCTCGACTATCCTTGCATACATATGCATATAATCGTAAGCAAGAATGTTCGTACAGTTTCTTTACAACTTATTGTAAATTTTTATATGTATTTGTTAATATACATCCCGTTTAATAAGAATGTATTACTTTTTTGTTTAAAAGCCTTGTCAAAACTTATTTTAAGTCAAACGTTAAATAATATTTACATAGACTTCCTGAGACAAGAAACGGGGCCTCCGAGATTCTAGTAGTAAATTAATTTATTTTTGTATAAAAACATCGTAATAATGTGATTAATCGCTATCAAATAATGATAAAATTAGTAAATATCTACTATTAAAAAAAAAAACTGCTGCTTCTGGTGAATATTTAAGTTGTTATAATTTTTAATAATAAATAACTTGAATTAATGCTAAAACCTGTCAATAAAGAAAATTTTTTATTCGATTAAATGAATGAAATTCAAAATATTATATTCAAAGAAAGGCAAATCTTAATAATTGTAAAAAAATGTTGATTGTTAGATTGAATATCAAGTATTCACTTTTTTAAACCATTAATCTTTATTTCTATAAATTAATTAACTTAAGGTGTTCAATAAGGAAAAATAACTTGTAAGAAATTCTGCGCACTTAGCTGAGATGTTTAAATGCAATCAGTCTGGACCTGATATGCTTCGATAGCCATTCCTTTCAGGCTGTCCTAATGGCAGTAATTTGATAAATCATTCTTTACAGCTTTTCTTAACGGTGGTAATTCGATAAGAGACTTACATAAATCAAAACTACAGCTTCTAGTCTGAAAGTTCAGAAATTTAACAATAATAGGTTGCTTTAAATTTTTTTTTAATATATTTAATAAAAGTTATACTAAATTTTTAAAATTTTTCATTTTTTGCCAAAGAAACTGGTTTTTTTAAAGTTTTGTTTTAACGCATTATAGCCTGTAAAAAACCTTTCTATGGCTGTTAATAGCTCAATGAGTTCTGGTGTGTTCACAGAAATTTTTTTCTGTTACCTCAGTCAAAATTCTTGCACGAAATGCAAGAATGGTATACTTAAATTGCAAGAGTGCGAGAACACTTTTATGCGAAAAATAATCATCCATATTTGGATAAAGTTTTCATAATTTTATTACGCGTATTTACTATGTCGTGCAAAGTCATTGCAAGGTGTACGAAATGCAAGAATGGTATACTTAAATTGCAAGAGTACGAGAACACCTCTGTTGCAAAATTGCAACAACAAAATGAAACAGCTGTTTTTGCAGCTTACCACAATCACATGAAAAACAACAGATATCAAAACAGCTGTTTTTTTCCTTTATGTTTCGTTGCAAGCATATATACATGGGTTTAGGCATAGCAAGATTACAAGTAATTGTAAGAAACTTTGTGCGTGTATTTTGTTGTTGTCCATGGCAAGCTCGCGCAATTTGTGCATTTCTTACATCTTGCAATGAATTTGTAAGACAGTGTGAATACTAAGCATATAGTGCCTTAAAAGACACTTCTATTTGACATATATCACTGATACAGTAGAGTTGATTCAAAACTACAAAATGAATGTATAACAGATAAAAACATATAACATATCTACTGCTACAAATTCTATATATTATATAATTATCCAAGTTTTTTCGTTTTCAAATGTTCATTGTTTTTATAAAAAGTTATTAAAAATTAATTTTCTATATATTAAATTTCAGTACACGTGAGTGGTCAGTGCTTGTTTTATAAAATTGGATGAAAACCGTAAATTCGTGTAATAGAAAAGCATTTTTTGCAACAAGGGAATGAAGCACCTTAAATGCACACCACGTACATGCAATCTGCAACTATAAAAATATTCAATTAAAAATATCAATAAGATTTAAGTATAAAAATCTATATACAAAAAGTATTACAAAAGTGCAGTATCGTATCTACACTGTTACTGTGCATTGATCATTTCGAAGACGCTGCCGATATTGTCATCAGCATGGAACGCACAACTTGTTTGAAGCAGTCCAAAGATGTTGAGTTTCAAGACGTCTTTTACACAGTAACCGACCGTAAATATTTTCGTAAGTGTTATAAATATTGTTATATAATATATATATAAAATATTTCCCAAAAAAAAATTAAAATAAGAAACGAAATAAATGAACAGCAACAGGCATTAGTGCATAAGCCCACTAATTGTGCTCAAGCTAGGCTTGCCAAAATGGCTAATGAAAAGTTTAGTTTAATTGCAGAAAAGTTAAGTCGTTAGTTGCTTTAATTGCATAAAACGTGGTAGATTGTATAATGAAGTAACCGGCTTACAATGCCCATAAAATGAAGTCCAAAAAAATGTATATACAATTTATACCATTTTTTGGAACTTAAACTAAAAAATATCTACAAATGTAAGATTTTATATTCCTGTACGCTATTTTTTGCACAGGAATATTTAATACATGTATTTAATTTAAAATTAAATACATTTAATTAGCATTTAATTAAACTTATAAAAATATATGTACTTTACTTTAGATTCTGATTTGTGTTTAATTGAGCTTGTTTACATGCATCTGTGTATAATTATAAAAATATATAATTTATTGTATGACTTAACAGGTAAGGCAGTTTTATAACATAAGTTTTTTTTATAAACCAAATTAATTAGTTTTTATATTATAATACATATAATATTATATAATAATATTATACTCGTATAGTAGTACATATAACAAGAGTTCGATTCCTGGTACTTGCACTCTCATAAAATTAATTACGAATAATTAAATACAAGAATTATTTCCAAGACCACTGATGATTGATATTTGGCAATACTCGAAACAGCTGTATGGTCAGCCAAAAATTCAATTAGTTAAAATAATATAAAATGAATGTTTGTTGTTGTAGTTTAGTGCTGTTCTAAAAAACATCTTTATTTTTTATAATTATATTATATTTAATTGATTTTTTAACGTCCGTTTTGACGTAAGAAACTAAATTCTCAATATAAACTATTGATTTCAATAGAGTTGTGTTTCGAACAATATTAAATTACAACAATAATTTTTTCATTATTTTATTAATTTATTGAATTTTTGGCTGACCATACAACTTTTTCGAGTATGCCAAGTACCCATCATCAGCGGTCTTTGAAATCATTTCTTAATTCATTAAATTAATATAAAAAAGATTTTTTGTAGTTCACTACTGTCATATTAACGCTAAAATCAAATTGATTATATGATTTATATATTTTGTTTTTTATTTAAGAATAGTTCATAATTTTTTTTCTTGTTAAGTGTAAGTTATTTGAATTTATTAAGTAATTTGTTATAAATCACACTAAGACTAGAATTTGACGTCAGAGTTACTAATCTTCTGATTAAAATATACTACTTATAAGTATATTAGACTTTTTTCGAGTTTTATAAATTGTATATTTTAGTTATTTGCCCCTTAATAAATTTTATTGTATATACTATGTTAGACTCAAAGGCGAATGTGCTTATTGAGCAAAAAAAAAAAACAGCCATAACTTGTTCTGAATAATTTGAAATGACCACACAGCGAAATTCGTGTTATAGCTCTTGTAAAACCAACACAACGCGTTGTGGTAATTAATAAATGCCACAATACGTTTTGGGTGATATGTAATATAACCATGAATCGATGAATTAAACGGGACTAAAAGAAAATTATGGTTTTACAAAAACCAACTATAATAAATTGAAAACTTATTTTATAATAATATATATAATATATTATATATAATATAATATATAATATATTATTAATATATATATAATAAATTGAAATTTATTTTATTGTAAAAATTTTTTATATTTAGATTGTACAAAAAAAAATATTAAACCGAGTAGAATTCAGTCATTTTACTATTTTCATATCTATAGTAGTTGTTCAAGAATTCAATAACAGCAGAGTATAATACAGAACCCAATTTTGCTATCCTACTTACATATAAAAAGCTTCTTTATAAAAATATGATTGCTTCATGGTTCTAGAAATGTCTTGTATTTCTCAATTCCCACAAATCATTATGGCTGTTTTTATAAAAGCCATACGAAAATTTCGCATTATAGATGATTTCAACTACCACAACGCGTGATCCTAGCTTTTGATTCTAGCATTTAAACTATTAACCGTAAAAATGTTAACTGCTTTTTCATATAAAATCGTGTAAATTGTTTACAGATACTATAATTCTTGATGTAACATTATTTCATGTTTCATATTAATATAAATAATCTAAACCTCATTTCGGTTTTATTGCTTATATTGAGTCATAAAATTTTATTACATTTTTTATATATTAAATATACCTAAGGTTAATATATTCTTCATATGGTCAATGAGCCTGACCTAGTCTTATTCTCTCTTGATATGCATATAGTCGTATATGTAACTATCACTAAGGTTGATAAACCTTAGCCTACATGTATTCGCTTAAAGTTAAATGTTTATAAATTTTTGGATTAACCATACAGCTGTCTCGGATATTACCAAATATTCATTATCAGTGGTCTTTAGAAAAATCTGTTGGTTTAATTGTCTGTATATAGTTTACAGAGTGCAAGTGTCAGAAATCCTTAATTCAAATTTAAAGTTTTATCAATTTTTGTTGTGTATTCATATAAAATCACTACACTTGCTGTGTTATTTATTAGAAATAACGCATAAACCACAGCTATAACAATTAATTTATTTAACATCGCTTTCATTTTGCAAAAGTGTTTAAAGAGTTTTTCATATAGTCGAAGTGAATTGTCGAATGTTACTAGTCAAAGAAGAATTAAACATTTTTGTTCAATCTCTTAGTCCAATTTCTAACCAATAAATTTATTTTAATTTTAAATAAACAGAATTCTCAGGATGATCATACAGTTATTTCGGATAATGCCAAGTATATGTCATCAGCAGTTTTGAACTATTATAATAATTTGATTATTATATGAATATGAATGCTTATGTCTATCAAAATTTTTATTCTGACTCACATAGGTTTTTACAATTAAAATTTTCAGCATTAATAGTTGAGTAACTTAAGTTTTCTTGAAACAATTACAAAACTATTGTTGTATATAGGTATTGTACCCCAGTAAAATAATTATATGTGCAGTACTTAAAATCTAATTTAAACTCCAACAAATTTTGTTAGTGTGAATTTAGTTTATTATTTGTTTTTATGTTTAGTAGTCTAATTAAAATAATAAAAAAATTTTATTCAAATTAATTTTTTTTAAGTGAAAAATTAACTTTATTTTAAATCTTCATAGAAAATATTTATATGTGCAATTCACATTTTTTGCTAAAAACAATTAATTATTTTATGTGATTCAATTTTTTTTGTTTTTCAATAAGAGAATGTGTTTCCATTATTTATTTTTATTAACTGTATCCTATGTGGCATTGAATCTACCAATTTTTTTAATAGTAGGAGGTCAATTTTGGCCCATTCGTCCAGTATGTCCTTTTTCAGCTCTTTAACAGTATCGTATTGCTTCGAATAAGCATAAATATTGGCACTAAGAATACCCCAAAGATCCTCTATTGGATTTATGTCAGAACTCATAGCCGGTCAATCTAGCAATGGGATGCTTCTCTCTTCAAATAATTTCTTTGTAGCACAAGAAACATGTATTGGAGCATTATCCTGTTGGAAAGTCCAATTATCTCCATTAATATTTTCAGCAAAATTTATCAGTTCGCTATCCAACAGATTTATGTATATTTCCGAATTCATTTTTGATGGTACGAAGCATATATTAGACTTTCCCTTCGAGCTAAAGGCAGCCCATACCATTAGTGAACCACTACCATGGTTGCGTTTGTTGCAATTCTGATGTGGAAGACAAATATCTCTCCAATATTTATGTTGACCATCTGGACCATCTAGATTAAACTTTTTTTCATCACTGAAAACAACTGTTTCGAATTCCTCGTCCCAAAACTTATATTTGTCATGAAAAGCTAAACGAGCATTTTTATGTCGTTTGTGTAAGGCGCGGTTTGGGGACTTTCGACTCATATTTTAGCTTTAAGTCTTTTTTCATAATTTGTTGCACGCGTTGCCTAGTGATAGACAAATCTAATTCATATCTTATTTGTCTGCAACTTATCTTCTCATTGGTAGCAAGAAGCTGAATATGCCGTTTTCTTCGGTTGTTAATAGTTGGTAAGCGGCCACCTCGCTTATAACACCATATTTTTCGAGATTTTTTAAAAAGTTTATTATAGTATTCAGGTGTCTATAACCAGCAGCAGATATTTCCCCACTTTTCATCCCAGAAAAACTCATTCCAATAATCTTTCCGCACTCTTCACTTGATAATTCCGTCCCATGCGGCATTTTTTATCTAAATTAATTAAAATAATAAATATTTATTAATAAATAATAAGTATTTTACTTACCAATTATTCTTTACTCTTCAATACTTTAAAAAAAAAACTTTATAATACACTTCACAACTTTATTTCCATTTACTGTTGACACTTCGAGAAGCAAAACAATTTTGCACATATAATTATTTTCTATGAAATTTGCTACCTATTGTTATTAATTATGATAACGGTACCACAAATAGTATACAAAAAAAACTCCATATATGGTCAGAGAAGTTAAACTCAACTACAGAATCAACTGTATATAAAAAAAATTAGTACCATTATTCTAAGAAGAGAATAACGAAAAACAAATTTTGCACATATAATTATTTTACAGGGGTACGTTCCTCTTAATCAAAGCATAAGCCTCTTTATAAATTTCCATTGGATAAACACTATCATGTTCTATTAATTACTACTTTAATTTCTTATAATTAGCTTGTTTGAAAGTAAATAATTAATACTACAACTCATATATTCAATCTTAAGTATGAGTAACGATGTTATAATATTTGTTATATAATATCGAAGATTTTTACACGTTTTTTAATTGGTTTCCAAATAATTAATTCAAATCAGATAATTATATAGAATTAAAATCGTAATTCAAGTAAATAATTTTGAAGTGCATAAAGTATGAACACTGATGTTAAGAATTAGTTTAAATTGCTAATAAATTTAA